CATGCTCGAATTTCCCGCGAAAACCTACCCGTACCACTCAAATTAGAAAACATTATTATAAACTAACCGTTGTGAATCGGGCTAAAGTAATGCTCTAGTTTTGAACACTGGCTGGTTATGTACTTGCTCAAATATTGATTTCGGATCATTTTTAACCAAAAAAAAGTTACGGACTGCAGCTTTAAACTAGGTGATATTTATCTGTGCAGCGGACAGGATCTTGAATTCTGCCAGAATTCACTCTGACGTCATGCACATTTAAAGTGACGTAGCCGCAAACGCACCTGACGCGATGACGCCCTGCGCTATTCCAAACGCCATGTGTCCCGCTCCGATGAACCCGATCTTCAGCTGAGACACATCCTGAACTCAAAGCAAACATTACTTCACGTTAATAAAGATGTTATGTGATGCTGCTGACATCTGTTCAGCAAACAGCATACAGTCACAGAGTTAACAGCAGCCACTCACAGACTGAAGCGCTGGAGAGTCGCTGGTTTTGACTGAACTCTCTGATACATTCATTGTTTATTTAATACAGCTTCAGCAGCTCCGTGTGAATCAGATCAGCGTCCTGTCACGTGGAGAACGTGTTCTTCTTTACTTGCATATACGAAACTACAAGCAGATACACTGACACCTGCTGGACTGGAGCCATGGATTCCTAAACATACATAAATCAGTAGCTACAAAAAACGTTTGGACACACTTGACTTAATTTATGTTTCTCATGGAATAAAACTGTTAAAGCTATAGCTGAACTATGCTAAAATTAGTTTTCTAGACACAAGGTCCCAATATATATATATATATATATATATATATTTTTTTTTTTACAGTGGTAAAATGTTAAAATAATGTTAACTTTGTAGTGTAACTAATGTAATGTTGATTTTGTTCCAATATATTCTCACTACAATCATTCCCAGACTTACATTTGTGTAACTGCAGTCTTATGAAGATTTTACCATTAATTCTAAAATGTAGAAAATATTAATGAAAATAAAAAGTAGGTGTGTCCAACTATTGATTGGTAATGCACATGGGGGAATCAATAAAATGGCTCAACCACATTGAGTAAAATTTATTCTGGCTTCAAATTCTGTCAATGAAGATACTGAAATAGGGCCACCTGCTGGACTGAACCAATGGATTTTACACAGTACACTGGCTAAAAATTGTTGACATTTAATTAATTTAAAAATAGATACATTAAATACATATTTGCTTATAGTAGCCTAATGTTTAAATTGGCTGTAATTGCATGCATGCATGCATAAAAATAAATAAATAAATAAATAAAATCCGTGTTTGCTATAATTGCAAAAATGTGTGTACAAATTGTAAAAAAATGTTTTATATTCTTTTTTATAATTTTATATAACATTTTAATATTATATTGTTTTATACTTATTTTTCATTCCTTTACTGAATACCATTATTTTGTAAACATATTTAAATATTTTATTTTATATTGATTGTTGTTTATTATATATATATATATATATTTATTTTTTTTTTTACAGTGGTAAAATGTTAAAATAATGTTAACTTTGTAGTGTAACTAATGTAATGTTGATTTTGTTCCAATATATTCTCACTACAATCATTCCCAGACTTACATTTGTGTAACTGCAGTCTTATGAAGATTTTACCATTAATTCTAAAATGTAGAAAATATTAATGAAAATAAAAAGTAGGTGTGTCCAACTATTGATTGGTAATGCACATGGGGGAATCAATAAAATGGCTCAACCACATTGAGTAAATTTAGTCTGGCTTCAAATTCTGTCAATGAAGATACTGAAATAGCGCCACCTGCTGGACTGAACCAATGGATTTTACACAGTACACTGGCTAAAAATTGTTGACATTTAATTAATTTAAAAATAGATACATTAAATACATATTTGCTTATAGTAGCCTAATGTTTAAAATTTAAAGCTAAGCTTCTCACCTCAAAGTCCAAAATTGTCTAAAAAAAAATTACAATTATTTAAAAAAAAATTATTATAGAGCGTATAGGCATATAACATGATTTGGAAACCCCATAATATTACCAAAGTTCTGCAAAAAGAAGAGAACATTAACATTATTATATAAAAAAAAAACAAGTTTATTTTTTGAATATACAGTATAGTATCATTAGGAAATAAACCCTGGCAGACCTGTAAAACAGGAAAATGTACAGCACTGGTCATGGTATATATCCCACATAAAATGTATGTTTTATTAAAACCTGAAATAAACAATAAAAGAGAGCTAAATAATGCTTTGATTTTGACCTTTACAAAATATTTAAACATTTTATAAAATTTTTTTTTTACTAAAAATGTATTTAGAAAAAAATCTAAAAATTATTAAATAAAAAAAAAAAAATCTTGTTGTTGAAAGTGTTCGATCAGTCAGGCTCTTGTTGTTCAAACTCCCCACAGCCAATCAGATGAAAAGATCTTCATTTACGGGCGGAGTCATAATTGGCTGCAAACCAATTGCAAGTCTCCTGAACGGCTGGAAAAAAAGAAAAACATCTATTAAGATTCTTCTTTTTACTAATATTGGAAAAACATAAATGCTGAATCTCTTGTGCTGATCACCTTGTTTGAACGGCGTGAACTTGAAGTCTGGCAGGTGTTTGCGTAGTTTGGCATTATTGGCGGTTTTCTTGATCTGACCGTCTGATTTGCTAGTGTCATACTGAGAGCGCTTAGTTAAGGTTCATCTGTAAGTCTGTGTGAACGAATGCTTTGAGGTTTAGTTCATTCTGTCATGGACTACTTTTATGGTGCTTATGTTATGTTGCAACAACTCAACACTAATCTACAAGATATCTAATCTCTGTTCCACAGAAGAAAGATTGCTGTTCTATTAGCTGTAAAAAAAACAAAAAAAACTCCAGGCTCTGAATGTGATTGTGAGTTAAACGTGTCTCACTCTTCGCCAGGTATGTCTTGTGGATCAACCCCGGCATCACGTGACCGTCCTCAATGTTGTAGTTGTCATGGGGTCCAAACATGTTGGTGGGGATGACGGCTGTGTATTTCAAACCATACTGCTGAAATAATGCCCTAATGGACAAACACACACACACTTTATGAACAAACCTCATGAAATAACATGACATACTGAAACCCTATCGTAAACCAAATAAATTGTATTCTGAGTCTCACACCAAGAACTAAATTTATTAGAATTATAGGCAACTCAAGCCTGTCTTTAGGACCATTAAGTTTTCTACTCCAGTTCGTTGAAACATAATCATTTAAACTGTGGCTGTCATAACATTTTCATCCCCAAAAACAAAAAGTTATGGTATGATTCTTGGGCTGTACACTTTAAATTAAAATAATACGTTAACATAGTGGTTTGCAATATCAAGCAGCATAACGTACATTTTTTCCTTGTACAGCTAAAATAACTAAAAGCGGACAATACCTGAAGCTTTGCATATTCCAGTTAAAAATGGTCACGCCTTTTGCTCTTATGTTAAAGATAAGGTTGATACAGTGCGGAATGTTGTGATAACGGCCAGATGTTCAACAACAAACCAATTATTCTACCACTTTTGTACATTCACAGAAACTTTTATGCACTGTGGGAAAAATCTAAACGCAAACAATGGTGGGAAACGCGTTCGATCATTTGAGTAATGAATATATTGTTTTAACCGCTTTAAACTGCTGAGGACAAACTGGATGGCACATTCATGTAAGCACAACTGATTTGCAAGAGCGAGACAAACAAGTAACTCAAAAGTAGTGTAATGCATTACAATTCAGAGACAGTAATATTGTAATGTAACTAATTACTTTCAAAAGACAGTAACTAGTAATATATAATGTATTACATTTTGGAAGTAACTTGCCCAACACTGTCAACAACATACATGTAAAAACAAGAACTATAGTAAATAATCAAGTATTTATCTGTCTATGGTGATTTTTTCTAATTGTAATGGTATTGATGCATCAGATTTCACTTAGTAGTAGCACAGCAGTATTTTTTGAAAGGCTTTGTATATGTGATCTGAGAACCAGCTACTAGTACCAGCTCTTCTTTCTCTTCCTCCCTACATCTCACAATGAACTACATACAAGTGAAACTGGTAACAACCAGTTTAACCACGGACACGTCCTGTCAACATAGGAACACTTCACTTATGAGGTGCCAACTTGTGCATTACAACCAAAAAACACAACAAATATGCAGACAAACACATACTGGATTCATACACTGTCATGTTCATCAGTCAAAGCATGAGAAAAGTCAGACAAGGCCATCATGCATGAACAAAATCACAGTGCAGACTAACAGTAACACTCAATGAATGAACTTTATGAATTATTTTTGAGTTCAAATTAAGATTAAAAGATCATTTTCATTGGTTTTAAACAGTTTTTGAATCGAGAAAATGGTCATATCAGATCTTGTATTAGTTCGGTTAAAATGTTTAAGAAACTGACAAAACCTTTACCTCCTCTAAGTGCAGTCAGGTGTTTCCTTGTTTTCGCTCTCGAGTTCTGTAAAAAAGGGAAGTACTAAATCGAGGCCCTCCGCTTACTGACTTGTGAGAAAGGCATATGAGAAATGCTGACGTCAAGATTAAATTTGAATATACGGAACAACGCAAAACGTCTTCCATAACATTTTATAGGTTGTCATAAGAAGGGGTTGGAAAGCACTAGATGCAGGACTGTATTTACGCTGAGAGACGCACAGACGCAGGTATTCACAAGCGCTTAATCTCTCTCTCTCTTAATTAACTGCGTAACTGCATTAATAACTGCGTTAGCCTGCATATCAATGGCCCAAGCCTTGGTTATTAGCTCTAAAATGACGTTTTGGAATTTGCAATGGAACGTTTGAGATGAGGTGCGTAAAAATTAGCTAGTTCAACACACACAATGTCAAATGTCTTGAAACAAATAATCTGAAAAATTGATGTGTGATTGTGACTCCAGGCCGTTAAAATTATTAGAGAAATAATGCACTCCCGAAGTGGTTATGTGGCCGGCCACGACGCCGCGCCTATTAATGGAATGGTCTTTCTCAGTTCTCAAACAAATTAAGAGCTACATTCGATTTTTATTGACTGAACGCAAGCGCTTATTGCGATAGAAAACACTGTAACGGTTACACTGATTAAGAAATATTTTTGTTTGCTTGGGTGGTAGCCTATATTAGGCCTATTATATTAATAGGGAAAGGGGGCCCAAAAATTTGTTTTGCCTATGTCACGAAAAGAGGCATATCCGACCCTGAGATGCAAAATGCTTAACTCGTATCTTGCAAGCAGATGCATCCTCTGGTAACGTTTTTATCAGTTTATCAGTTAACTGTGTTTACACAATAATTTGTGGTTTCAGTTCAGCTTAGCATAGACGGTTTTGCAATTTTAGGTCTTCTAAGCAGAAAAAATGAAAGTTCTTTACTGGCAAGTTTAGTGGATGATTAAAGTTTATGATCCAGCCTGTTTTTATTTTATATTTTATTTTAAGCGTTTTATAACAACATATAGAACAAAATATATAATCAGTATAATACAAATTTTTTTTTGATTAATTCAATTCAAGTTTATTTGTATAGCGCTTTTCACGATGCAAATCGTTGCAAA